TCTTCTTCTTATCATAGCATACCAACCAGCGAACACCCAGCCAAGTTTAGTTAGCCAGTTTGAGTATTCGTTACAGATAGATATATTAGATTTATATTAGATTTAGAATAGTGTCACGGATGCCAACAAAGGATAAAGTGTATACAGCTTTTGAATCAATTGCTAGAACTAAAACCGTAGGTACGAAGAAATCAAACTAAAGAGAGAAGAGAATCTGAAAGGAGCGAAGTTATTTAAGTTGTTCCAATGCCAAGTCTCGTCACGTGCTTGGCCAAGCGAATGAAATCCTGTCAAATGAAATCCAGCTCCGTCACAAATAGATTACGTTACTTTTTAATAATCTTTATATATTTAGTTCCTAAAAGAAGGAACTAGGTTCTTTATTTTTATAGACAATAGGTCCGGACCTTTATTATAATTAGTAGATATATACTTAGTATTATCTATACTTATTTAGAGTCTATACTTAATAATACTAAGATATTATCTTTTTCTTTTTAGAGGGTAATTATTATGGAGTATACTAAAGTTTACCCCTTTATTTACTTAGTATATAACTCCTATATTAAGTAAGATAGCCTATAAGCTATATAGTTCTAGAAGAGTTAAGGCTAGTCTTATATAAGTTACGCTAGTCTTAGATAAGAAGGTTCTATAGTATAGGAGAGCTCCTATATTAGGGTACTACTTTACCTTAGCTAGCTACTTTTGAATTATCCACTTTTATAACTTATTCTAACTACTACCTGTTTTGTCCTTAATATTAGTAGTAACTTAAAAGACTTATTTTATTTTATCGACTTATATAGGAGGATTCGTAGCGGTTAAGAGTTAACTCCTTAGGTAAATATAAGCTCTTATTTGTTTTTACTCCTTAGTAACTTAGAAGAACCTAGAATAGAGTTTTAGAATACAACTATTACTCCTAGGTAATTACTATTATACGTAGTTTCCGAGAATTTAATAAAAATTTAGAATCGTTATATTAAAGTCTAAATAGTATTATTATTATTATCTATTATTTCGTATAAAGGTTTCTAATCTAGTTATTATCCGTTTAGTTCTAGTATTTAGCTCTTATCTCTAGCTCTTGGCTCTAGTTCTAGTACTAGTATCTAGATCTAGCGAACTTAGAAGGATAATAAGGTATATAGTATCTAGAATAAGGTTACTTTGAGCTACTAGTTTACCTCCCGAGAGGGGCCTCGAATACTATGTTTTTACGTCTATACTTAACGAGAAGGTCTTAGATTAAAGGTACGCGAAGCGCCGGGTACATAGCCTATTAGAATAGAAAGGGGAGAATTCTTTAATTATAAAAGTAAGGTATAGGTAGGTAATAAATACCTAGGGTTAATACTAGTATTAGACATTAGGTTAAGCGAGTATATATATTACGAGAATACTTTCGAGCTCTTATACTTCTTACGCTCTCTTTTATTAGAATATTCGTGTTTAGAATACTATATAAATATAAGAATGTATTAACAAAGATATAATAGGAAGAAGCTAAAATAAAGGGGTAGGGGTAACAAGGGTCTACTACCTCTATCGGCCTCGGCTAAAGATGGAATAGGAGCGTTCTAGTACACGTTAAAAGGGGTTTTGAATATAGCGAAAGGGAACCAATACTATATCGTTCATCCACGGTGTAATGCTACCGAGGAATGGTAGACTTTGTGGACGGAGCTACCTTGCTAATCTTGTATCAAGGGTTCACGTAGTATTTCGAGATCGGGTGCGGCGCCTCCTCCCCGTCTAGAAGTTGTCGCCGATCTAGAAACACCAAATAAGAGGGATTAATAGTAGAGAATCTTATACAGGGGGAGGATCTATGTCGTTGAAATTAGTGTCTCGAAATTGCTTTCCAGCTCGTATGTAAACGAGTTATGGAAGTTTGATCCTATATCAAGGGCCCGGATTAAAAATTGTCGCCGGTATAGAAGTAATATAAAACCATCTATCAAGGTGATAGAGTCCTATATACCTCTAGTCTAAATAGGACGTCTTCTAAGAAAAGCAAGAGTCGGTCGAATATTACATTAACTTTATATTAATCTAGGATTAAATTTGAGATTATATAAGGAAGGGTAGATGGTGTTAGGGCGTTATATATGTTTTATAATTTTTTTTCTCTTTCCCTCCTTTGCTTTTATACGTCGAGGTTTTACTTTTGCACATGTTTCATAACGTTTTTTTTAACGACGAAAGATATTACTAATGATGAGGTATATTATAATCAGCTGAAAAATACGTAACGCTGGAAACACATAGGGAAACACTTCAAGGCTTTCCAAAGCTCTTCAGAACTTAAGAAAGACCTTTCAAAAGTGGAGATACGTTCATTGATCTCTGATAACCTACTACATTCCACTCGTAACCATTCTCTCAAAAAAACAGAATAGCCACTTTTTCCCCATCCACCCATCTCACCCCTCAATCATCATTAATCCTCAACCCCTTCAACGCATCCAACTCCCCCACCCCATCCTCCACATCAACATCCTCCTTCACCACCCACTCCACACAATCCATTCCCACCCTCGGATCAACCATCCAAACATTCCCCTCCTCCCTAAACTTCTCCTGCATCCACCCCGCCAACTTCAACCCCGTAAACGCCTGTCTCTGAACCACCTCCGTCCAATACCTACTCGGGGCCTTCCACATAACCATCCTCGCCAAAAACCACAAAAACCGATGATCCCCCATAGTCATCCCCCCCTCCTCCACCAACCCCCGATGTCTTTCACACAACCACTCAAACCCACTAAGCTCAAGCGCTTTTTCAGGATCCACCTCCCAATCCCACAAAAACGCCTTCACAACCGCATTCTGATACCTCGGCGCCTCGAATTTCCGTCCGATCTCCCAGAGCGCTGCGTAGGTGATGTTCTTGACCGTCCCGTCGGGGTCGGTGTACGCGGTGGTAATTTTTTCGGTGCGCGTCCATTCGCAGAGCCGGTTCAGGGCGAGCTTGAGCCATTCGCTGGGGGGGATGATGATGTGGATTTGGTGGGGTGAGGAGCTGTTTGCGAGGAGGAAACGGCCGAGGCGGAAGGAGGCGGCGCAGAGGAAGGCGGGTTCGCAGTCTAAGGGCCAGAAGGCGTTAAGGGGGTTGTTGTCGATGTGGCGGTAGAAGATTTTGACGCTGTGGGTTGGGTTGTGAGTTGGGGGTTTTGTGGGGACGGAGGGGACTTACCTGTGGAAGGTGAAAAGGCGGTCGTAGAATGTTGGGGGGAAGATTCGTGTGGTCATGGTGATGTGATATGTTGTTGTGAGGTGAAGACTGTAGAGGTGGAAGGGACTTGAGTTTTCGGGTTTGATGGCGAGTCCTGGATATTGGTACTTATCGAGTCCTTTATAATCATACCTGAGTTCGAGAAGAAAGAAAGGGTTGCATAGGATTGAAACTGAGACTCCGATGAGGAGCTTTGTTGATTCTGGTCGTTGCCCGGTGGTTCTATGGTTCGTGGTGAATCAGAGTAATGTGAACCACTGCTCCTTTGTCACTTGGAAACTTTTGTCTGAGTCAAATCATTCTCAAACACCTCCTCTATCACCCCACCTCCCAAGCCTTACTTTTCCACTTGTACTAGATCCAATTGCTTCCTCCTCAGACCCTTCCTGAAAGACCACTACCACCCACACATCACTTGTCGGTCACTTACATACTACAATTCGAATCCTCCAAGAAGTATACTCCACTGTGAGCACACACAGGTTCAAACTGCTCCATAAAACAACCCTAGTCCTCAACCTATGTGTTTATAATTCAAAACTTACACATAAACCTCATCAAACAGCCCCAAGAAAGGGAGCGAGACCTGTTCCCAATCTAACCCATCAGCAGTACCTCACCACACTCTCCAGGCCATCGCAAGACATATTGAGACTGTGCAAGTTTGGTGGAACGTAGTGCAATCTTCATCGAAGAGTCTAAGAACGACATCAACCTTAAGTTGATGTTGCTACGAGATCCCTGAAAGCGAATTAGCGAAAGCGTGAGCTAGCTATGTGAGTGTGGAGAACACCAACGAAGAGAATAGCGAACACCATATTAAATTGGCAATTTTTGATTGTTCTATCCCTCAGAGCCTTTTCCTTCTCACTAGGTATTCGGAATATTTGAATCCTAGTTGTTGTTCACAAATTAAAGATATGGTATCGCGGTCCAGAGATGGTTTGCTGTAGACATCCCAAGCACGAAGAGAATGGTATGATGTGTGATCATTATCTTGAGGCACTCTTCCGCCTTACTATCGACAGCTCTCAATTCCAAAACTCATCGTTTGAGAATTCAACTGCGTATTCTTTCAGAATACATTCCCAGACAGTATCACTGATGATCAAAATTCAGGCAGTAAGTGGCAAAGAGCCATGTCCACAGCCCTCGAATGCCACAATATCAAGTTCCATTCAAGTATGATCGATCGTAAGTGTTGGTACGAGAGATACTCGTAAATAGGGTACAAAATAGCAGTAACAATAGCATATAAAAGTTGATTTCTTCTTAACACAGAGCGAGTCTTACTATAGTGAGAAACCGGAATAGAAAAACGTATACTGAGTCAGGGAAAGTAATGTAGCAAGTAGTCAGAATTGACAATTTGTGAGGCCAACACAAGACCAATTCAAGTAAACTCCCCAAAAAAGACTTGTGAATATCAGGTCAATCAGATACGGATTTTCATCAGCACAAAATTAAGATAGAGGATATGTAAACTCAACCTTCATCCTCTCGTGCATCTTTCATAATCCCTCACTCGCTTGAGAATAGGGTTTAAAGTTCCGACGAGCCTTTTATTTACCTTCCGCGTTCTTGCATGACAAGAAGATGGACGCGTTATTGAAAAGCTTGCCCCAAACTTTAAAATCCACAGATTTCAGAAGTTGGAAGCAACGTTGCTTTCTTCAGATGATCAACGGTTGAGATGTTGGAAATAAATCAGGAATTGTAAAGTGGGAATGAGGTGTGGATTGAAGAGTCCGACTGTCGGATCTTAAAACTACTCTAGCGCCTATATGACTAAATTAGCGTGGCTAAAGCCACCTAGCCGATTACTCCCTCTATCTACTCCCCTTGGTCCACAGACTCCCCTAAGTCGATAAGAGGACCGACTACTTAAAACCTAGGGTAAAACCTCTAATTATATATAAAGTATAGCTAGAGTACTAGAAATCAAATAATCCTCTAACTTATAGTATAATAGTATTATATTATATAAAGCCTATAATTCGAATCTCCCGACTATATAAGCTATAATTAATATTATATACCTCCTACCTAGTAATCCTCCTAAGTAAGATCCTAAATACAAAGACTACTATATAGTAACCGGATAGCGCTCGGCCGACTAAAAGACCTAACCTAGAGGCTAAAACCGCGAATCTAAAGACTATAATTTAAGTTAGATAAGCCCTAGCTATTATACGAACCTTCTTTAGTAACTTAAATACTATAGTACCTAGATAGATATTTTAAAATATTAGTAATTCTAATTTAGTCTTTATAACTAGATATCCTTCTCTTATATAAAAGGCTTCAAGGTAATTACTATAAAAATATCTATAAATAGATTATCTATTAATTTAGCGAATTAAATAAGACTTCCTAAGCTCTCCTCTATACCTACTAATTATAAAAGGTCTCCTCTAGTATAGTTATATCTTCTTTCTAGATTATTTCTTATTATATAATATAAGAAGCTATCCTAGAATCAGAGCTATATCCTAAGTAATACCTAAATTATACTTCTCCTTTATCCTTTATCTAACTAGATTAGACCTCTAATCTACCTTAATTCTTAATTCCTATTATCCGACTATATAGTTAATTACTAAGTCTATATAGATAGTATTATTTAGTAGAATAGGCTTAGCTCCTTAGACTAATAATACTACTTCTAGAGACTAGCGCTAGTATAATAGAAACTGTTATTAGATAGCGTCTATAGCCTTAAATCTATATATAATCTTAAAGAGACTATAGCTAAGATAACTAATATATCGATTATTAAAGTTATAAAAAGATTTATTAAGGTAATCTAGCTATTTCTAAGGAATCCGATAGTTCTTTTTAAGAACTTACTATAGGACGTTAACCGCTTTCTTAACTATACTAGTAGCCTTCTTAGCTCCTAATAGTAATATAGTCTAAATAATACCTTCTAATTACGCCTATTTAATAGTTTCTACTCTACAGTATAGACCTAGGTCTATGTCACGAATCACGTGTTGGCATGTGATAAGCAAAGACCAGGCGGCGTCCTGACAGGTTAAGCACCAGCAACACACTCTTATAGCAAATAGGGATGCTTAGGCTAGCTAAGCGATCCAGGGATTTCATCTGATAGAAGTCATGTGACCGTCATTGATCATTGGTGATCAACTGAGCAACGCTGAGCTGGATCAGTGGGATCAGGGTGATCATAATGATCAACGAGCAAGAAGGTTCTATATAAGACTGGCACTTCTGCCATTAGATAGGAGCTTCGTGCTCAACTTAGTTATCAATCTTATCATATTAGTTTGACATCTTTGATAC